TTTCTTGCAGATTTTCACGAGCTTCCTTATTTCGTGCCCTACAGTGCTAATGTAAATTTGCTCTTGCTGATAGAGCGAGTGTTACCTGTAAATGTTAATGATGCTTTTATAAAAGTATTAAAGCGATGACAGCTCGTATCGAAGAACTTTGATCTCCAAACCCGCGTGCATGGCGCTCCTTTGCGTTTAGAAAAGCAATAAGTAATTTGAAAATACGTTTTAGTGTTTTATGGCATATTAACTTTATTTTTTTCCCCAAATTGGACCTGCTAAAACAATATGAGACAAACTTTATGGACTGGTTGCTCTTGAAGTTTATTATCTAATAACATTTCTAACCACATTCTTTATGAAGCCTGTAATCTGACTTATCACTTGAAGGTATCTTTTGAGTTATGGAAAGCGCTTGGAGAATTTCCCTGTTGGCATCGTGAGGTTCTTTAGGGGAAATAAATTCCAGCTCTTGGTAATAAACTCAGCCCCCTAAACGAAGCACATTGGTGTCCACTAGTGGGGAGAGGACCAACAAAAGGGCTGTAGCCCCCCCTTTTTGTGCAGGGCTGGGGGAAGAGCCTCAAGGTGTCTTTCACAAGTGTTTCCTGATATTGAGGCCCCCGAGGCTGTTCTCAGGGCAGTTTGTGACTTTGCAAAGTGGCTGTTTGGTAAGATACACTCTTGCACTCTGTTCTCTCACATTTCTGGTTGTGTGTTAAGAGCTTTGACTTAGATGTTCCTCAGGCATTATCAGCATCTCTGTGAACTCCACTGTGCAGGGAGGATTTCTTTTGGTTTTTTTGCTGCTCATTTGTAGCATGTCTCAAGTTTTAATCTTCTGTAAGGACTTTCTATTGAAGAGACTCGTTTTGGTGTACAGAAAATTGTGAATTATCTTCTAAATGCACTTGATTAAACCTAATTTTAAAAATACCTGTATTCAAGTTATATTTCCTGTCAATGTGAAAATAATAAAGCGACTGAGCTCGTTCCTGGCTTCTCTACTGCACGAGACTTTAGGAGGAGTCATCATATGGTGCTGGTGTGTGTCTGTCACCTTCTGTGAGCCGAGATAGTCCTGCCCGCGCTCAGCTGAGGTTGTGTGATCGATCAGACAAGGTGCAGCCGCAGCCCGTCCTTCGGAACCGACGCACTTCTCTGTGGGCCAAGAAGCTACTCCAAACGCAGTGGTTTTGTTCAGCTCGTCGCATCGGAGTTTGCTTTTATCCTGGATTTTTTTTGGTGGGGTTCAAGTGGTTTGTCACACGTTTCTAATGACAGTAAGGGTGGGAGTAGCTCAAATCTTGCAGGATTTGGAGACTGTTCCCTGCTGAAGGGCAGCGCTGGTTAACAGCGCGTTGGCCGCGCAACCAAGCACTTCCCATCCCATGTGCCAGAAAGGGGAAGCTGCTGCCCATCGATAGGAGGAGCCCTTGCAAGACAAAGCACAGTGAGGGGCAGGTGCTGCCTGAGGAGCTCGTGGGACCTGCCTCAAGAGCTGCTCCTGTGTAACCTGCACCTGGCTCACCTTTCAGCTTCTCAAAGGATTCCCTGTTTTCACGGCCTGGTTTGCATTCGTAGCTGTACTTTTTTTTTTTCTTCTTCTTTTATTCTTCTTTTTTTTTTCCTCCTCCCAAAAGCAAAGAGCAGGGAGCTGCAAGGGAATCATCCGCTTCATGAATGAGAGGATGAATTACTTGTGCAGATGTTGGTGGAAGCACCGCTATGCCTTTAACATTTTTCCAGGGATTAGCTGTTCCTTGCAGCGCGTTGGGCGTGTAGTCTCCTGTTGACAGTAAGATTCCCAAGAGTTGCTTTGCTTGCGTGTGTCTTCTGCGCCACCCAAAGACAAACGGACTCACAGGCACGAATATCAGAGGCAACGTGTGGTATTTCTTCCTGTTGGAGTTTTGCAGGTTTGGAGAGGTTAGGATTTAGCTTTTGCTTTGGGGTTTTTTTGCCCCTTTTTGTCAGCGTTGATGTTTTTTTCCATTCCTGGAGTGCCTGTTCAGGCTTTTTTTGTCTGAATGATAGTGAGGAGCTGTTCAGGAGTTTGTGTAGTGAGGAAAAAGCGCTTCAGCAGAACCTGCCAACAGGTTGTGTGGTCAACTCTTGATTGTGTAGGCTGACAGGAGATAATATTAAGCAAGTAAAGCAAAACCACAGCTGGTAGCATGTAGGTCACTCAGCGGTTAGAACGTAGAGGACTGTTTGAGGGGCTGGTGGTGAGTGCTCCTAATCCACAAACCTCGTCTTGTCCCAGGTTTTCCTTCCCCTGGATCACACACCATCCTGCTACTCAGTTTCTCTTCTCCTGTTACTGCTACGTGCTGCACCGGTAGAATTTTCTTTGCATGTTGACGAAGCCAACAGCAGAGGGCAACGAAGTGTGCATTGCATCTACTTTCCTTTTCTTAGACTTCTCTGGAACAGCAAACTGCTCCAGACATCAAATGTTTTACCTCATGCTAGTCCCTTTCCTGTGAAGTCCCCTTTTTGGTGACTTCTGTTACTTCTCACACTAGTGTGCAGTACCTCTTGTGTAATTCCCCAGATGAGGGATGTGTTATTTCTCTTGTCTGCAGCTAAAATCTGCACTTGCAAGTATAATAAAACACTGTCTGGATGCTATTTCTACCCTCTTTCCTGGCTGATCTTCTGCCCATAGCTGGTCATCTACGGGGTTTTTGTCAGGTCGTTAACAGATTGGAAAGGGCCAATGAATTTTATCTGATTATTTCATAATGGTCACTGATAATTTCGTAACCCAGAGCGCCGTGTGTATGCAGCAGTCATGAAACGGGCGTTAATTTTTAGTCAGAGAAGGGATGGAATTTACTTGGCACGGTTGTCGTCTGCTCAGGATGCTTTACGGAGGAAGAAGAGGATTTGGAAGGAAGATCACAGAACACTCATGACTTCAGCAAAGCTGTTCCTTTTGAGATCGAGGGATGCATCCCAGTGTTTCCACCTGGGAAGAGGTAGGGAGAAATCCCACAGAGTTTTCTGAGAGCTTTGCTTTGAATTAGGAGATCTATGACAAAGACAACAGTTGAGTTAATTTAATGTCTTCCCCACAGCAGACACAGAACAGCTGTTTCATGCAGTCCCTGAAAGCTTTCAGTTTTCCCAGAACACAAAGCTTTAGGTCTAAACTCAAATCTCAGTACTGGACAAGGACTTTCCTTTCAAGTAAAGGCAAAACTGGGCTTGCCCTGCTTTCTCCATCCTTGAGGTCTGGCCCAAGCTACCGGTAATGTGAAGAAGTGGATTCTGTGACTGTGCCTCGTGTCGTGGTTTTAGATGGGGTAAAAGATAAGCAAGGTGTGTAAGACAAGGCGTATGTGGCTCAAGAGATCAACATTCAGTTCTTACTTTGTCACAAGCTTCTTGTTAGGTTTCAGGTAAGTCACTTCATCTTCTGTAGCTGCACTTCCACTTCTGCAAAACGGGGATAAAAATAGCAGTTTCAGCAGCCTTTCCCATTTAGATGAAAATCTCTTTTGGGGAGGGTATTTTAATGTGCTCGTACTGCACAGTTCTGTGCCTGAGATTGTTCACTGTAATAAAATCACTC